GTTTACATCGTTGTGTTTTACATCGTGATCAGTATGGACACAGCTGATCACGTGGTAATAGGCCGCTGTGATTGTCCCTTTACCATGTTATGTGATCAGCTGTGTCCAAAGGATACAGCAATCACAGAGTGCTGGGTGCATGCCGCTGGGGGCATGTGGGGGACGCGGTTCTGGGAGGACGTCATATGATGCCCTCCCAGAACTGGACAGCCGCGCTGTAGCTGTCATTCATCTACAGCGCAGTCAACAAGTGGTTAAGGGGGTGTGGGTGGGGGCGTGGCCTATGCCTACATACTTTTGCTAATAGGTGTCCCTCATTCCTATCTCAAAAAGTTGGGAGGTATGGATCTGTACTGAGGGTTCTGTTCTGGGGTGGGGGGGTCTGTGCTGAGGATTTGTACTATGGGGATATCTGTACTTAGGGGTCTGTACTGATGAGAGTCGGGTGTCTGTACTGTGGAGGGGAGGGGGATATCTGTACTGATGGTTCTGTTCTGGGGTGGGGGGGGGTCTGTGCTGAGGATTTGTACTGTGGTAATATCTGTACTTAGGGGTCTGTACTGATGAGAGTCGGGTGTCTGTACTGTGGAGGGGAGGGGGATATCTGTACTGATGGTTCTGTTCTGGGGTGGGGAGGGGAGGGGGATATCTGTACTGAGGGGTCTGTACTGGCGTGCTGTGTGTGGGAGTTAATCTCTACTAAGAGTTCTCAATGCTGAGAGAGCTGTCTGCACTGAGGGGTCTGTGCTGCGGTAGAGTCTGTACTGAGGGGTCTATACTAGGGAAGGGTGTCTGCACCGAGGTGTGTGTGCTGTGAGGAGTCTGTACTGGGGGAGGGACTGGAAGAGTGGATTTAGGGATGCTAGGGGAAATATATGGGCTTTGAGGCGGATTTGTATTAGAAAGAGAGTGTAATTGTTGGTTGTACTCTGTAAAGTGGCCTGACTGACCCCTGCACTCTCTATGTAGCGCACTTCTGAACCCTGCACTCTAGTGCACATCAGTGTAAGTACTTTACCCCATTTTGATTTTTTTATCAGGTTGTTAGAATCCCTTGTACAGCAGCACTCATACTGGGAGATGAATTGTCAGATCCCCAAATCATACTGGTTCTAAGTGCCCATGCATCAACAAGTAATACAGTGACAAAATTAAGAAATAGATAACCTTCTTGGATGGATTCTGCTCCCTTATTGTCCAGTCCCCCAAGCCTGAGGCAGTAAGATGAACCATCTGTGCTGCTTAACTGCAGTATAGAAATGCTAGGCCACCAACTTGACTCTTCTATTTAGCAGAGCTGTGTAAATCTCAGGGAATGGCTGGACAAAATTAGAAAACATTTGAAGTAGCTCCTGTAGTTGTATTCTCCTTGTGTATTTGGAGTTTTTGAATGGAGTTTAGGTTGGAAAGAAAAAAAAACATTGCTTAGTTTAGTATAATGGTACAGCCAGCTGTGAAATGTTAGAAATGAATGTGGAGAAATAGTCTCAGCTAAGCAGTGTTCATATTTTATTTAGTGGTGTTAACAGAGTGTAACCTCAAAGAGAAGTTTCTCCGAGGTGTGCTGATCACACACTCATCAATGATGATAGATACAGTATGTGCAGAAAGTGATGGTTTATCACAACATCTCCTATGCATGGAAACATAAAACACTTCAGAAAGGATAATGCACTGCAGGGAATGGTGCCCACACATAAAGTCACTCCACGCAAGCATTATAAAACATACTTTTTTAAAGATCAGCATACCGTTTCTGTAAACCTAATGGGGGACAGTTATAAAATCTGAGCCGACTGAAAACACAGACATTTCTGTTCTCTAATTTTTCAGTTATTTTACTACACTCAGTTGTATACCTTTTACTGTTTGAATTCCCCTGCACATGATTGCATTGTATGCACTTCACAGTTTAGTAAATTGTTTCTTTCCTTTACTTTGTTTTTAAAGTAACAGCTCATTTGTACTTAGTATAAAGAATAACCAACAGCACATTATTTAACAATGCAACATCAGCTTTTTAGCTGATTTACAGAGTAAGGCTGGCCATACACTATACAATTTTCTGTCCAATTTCCTTTAGATTTACCTTCAACTATGTAGTGCAAGAGCCTGCCTAATTGGATACAATTGAGAGTGTTGTTAGGTCTGACCTCCTATTATATGGTTTTTGGTAAATCTAAACCAAAAATCTCAATAAAATTGCACAATATACAATTTTCTTAAATTTTTTTTGTCCAATTTCTGCCCAATTTCCTTTAGATTTACCTTCAACTATGTAGTGCAAGAGCTTTAGGCTGGCCATACAATATACAATTTTCTTGAGAATTTTGTTTTAGATTTACCAAAAACCATATAATAGGAGGTCAAACCTAACAACACTTTCAATTGTATCCAATTAGGCAGGCCCTTGCACTACATAGTTGAAAGTAAAAATGGTATAGTGTATGGCCAGACTAACTCCCCTTTTGTTGAGAAAAAAAACATTTCCCTCTGTGTGATCTATGTACATTGCAGGGATTTTACCAAACTTTGTTGCAGATTCCTTTTGCTATTCTGAATAAATAGCTGTTTGTTTGTGTGATTTTATATCAATCAGATGTTACAACTGCAAGGCTATGAGGAAAGTCTGCATCCCATTAGACATGATTTCCCTTTGGGAGTCATTTTTGTTGCAGGGGATGCTGAAAATCTGACTTGTATCTTAGGCAGACTTCTGGGAAAATCAGTAAGCCAATCACACAAGCAGGAAATGACATTTATGAGGGGCGTTCTGTACACCATTTGTGTACAGAACACCTTCAAGTATTCATACTGCACTGCATTTTACAGAAAATGACAGCACTGCAGATTGAAAATGAGATATCATTTTAATAACATTAGTTACAATATGACTTGTGTAGCAATTGTATACACTATATAAATACTTTTTTATTTGCTATTTTTTTTCCCACAGAAGTGTAGTTACTCTTTATTGGGTCAAGGTCCTTCGGTAGGTGTTTCCAATTAAAAGCAGCACACGTGATGTTAGTGAAATGTAGACATGTGCGTCGTTTTTCATTTCGATTCATTTTTCAGATGCAAATGTCATTTTTGAACATTCAGATGTATACAAATCTCCAAATGGACACAGTAACGAATGTCAATGAACCTGAAAAAAGTTATAAACACATTTATCTAATGTATTTGTTTCATTCAGATGACATCACATGATGCGATAGTAGTTCAGGGTCATTCAGAAATGAATGAAATTTTCACATTTATTTGATAATTTGGATTCGGATAATGAATGCATTTGAATTTCATTCTATGCGTTACTTCGGATTCACATGTTGCCAGTCGATTTTGTCCAATCAGCTCATTTATGAATGTATTCATTTTGATACTCATAATTGTAATTTGCTGTTGAGTATACAGTGCTCAGCATAAATGAGTACACCCCAACAGATGTGTAAGAAAACCTTTCCTTTCAGAATCAGCATTTTCTATGAGACACTGTACTACAAATTACTCCCACAAATGGGGGCCATTGATTGCAAACAAAAAAGTATTTTCCTAACAAATTCGTTCAAGAACGTGTTGCAAAAATGAATACACCCCAATGAAAGTCTAAGTATTAATTAAACAGGTGTCCAGCGGACAGTTGATTATAAAAAGGCATTACTTAACCTCCTTGGCGGTATTTCCGAGTGTAGTAGCTCGGGGTAGAATTTCTATACCAAGAACGATAACCCCGAGCTACACTCAGGCTTACCATGCAGCGTTCTCTGGGGGTCCCTGCAGCACTTACCTTGTCCTTCGCTCCCACGATGGGTCCCCTGCAGCGTCCCCGTCCATCTCCTCCGGCGGATGCTGGCATCTGGCTTCCGTGTTCCGGTCCCTGTGACGTCGGAACGTTCGGGCGGCAGAACCGGCGAGAAATTTGAAATTTTTAAAAAATGACATTTTTGCTGTCATTGCTTTTTCACTGCATTTCACATACATTTTGTCCCCACTGCTTTGTCCTGTGCCCTGCCTGCATTTTGACTGTTCTTTCTGCCTGGAAACTTAGAAAAGTCCATGGCAGCCAAAAAGCGTCCCTTTACATCAAAAGCGGTTTTAGAACAGCGATAGTAAATCAGAACCACTTGCAGAATTGAGTGATAATGATTTGTGGGGAAATTCGTCATCAGACACTGAAAACGATTTTGCGACTTTGCTCAGCGATGTGCGAATTTGCCTCTGTATTTCAAATTTCAGTGTTTTTGGTTTGAATATATTATTGAATTAAATTTATTATTATATTATTATTTTTTATGATTATTTATTAAATTATAATTTATGATTTCATGTTTCAAGTTTTATTATATCCGGAATGTTTAATAGACTCTTTTTCGGATAGATTTCAGTGAGTTATTCCTGAAAATTACAGCCTACAATAAAAAACTACATATTTCCATGCAAAAAAATGGTACCGCTTTCAGTACAAAAAAATCGGAAAGAATCATACCGCCAAGGAGGTTAAAGCAGAGTTCCACTCACATTGTAAAAAAATAAAAGTCAGCGGCTACAAAAGCTGTAGCCGCTGACTTTTAAAAAACAGCCACTCACCTATCCTACGATCCCACGTTGTCCTCCCGTTTCACCAGCCGTCCTGTGTTCTAGGCGCCAGCATCTTTAGTGTGGGCACCTGGCTATAACAGCTTGTGGCTTCACAGCCGGGTGCCCTCTGCGCATGCACGAGTAGTGCTGCACTTCCTGAATCGCCTTGTCATCTTCTGGGACCTGTCACTTGTCCCAGAAGACTACAGGGAGGGAGGGTAGGAGAACAACTTCTGCTTCCGCTCGCCTAGGCGATCGCAGCGTAAGTGGTAGTGGGTACATGTCAATTTGGGGTACCCGCTCACCCACTCTAACCAAAGGTGCCAATCCTTAATGGAGAGCGGGGGTCCAATCTTTAAAGCGGAACCTCCTCTTTTCGGTGGAACTCTACTTTAACAATGAGAACTCCTTCCCATTTTATTCTGTCAGCAATGGCACCACATGGAAGAGAAATATCACAAGGCCTGAGAAAGAAAATAATTTCTTTACACAAGAAAAGTGAAGGCTACAAGAAGATCAGCAAAGCTTTACTTATCAGTCAGAATACTGTAGCAAAAGTAATACAAAAATTTAACAAAGATGGAACTGCAACCATCTCACAGAGACTGGTGAACAAAAGCAAAAAAAGGCACACTCTGATCGTGCATTACCATGGTACACCATGTATTTATTAAAAAAACATATAGATATATACTCACAAACCAAAAGAGAATAAAAACAGAGCAGGTAGTCCGTAATGTCAGTCCAATGGAATACTGAACCCTTATAGGGATAGGCTAATGCTAACTCCCTTCTTCAGAGCTGCAAATTGCTATGCAATTTCACTGCAGTTAGCTATAGAAGTAGAATGCCAAACTGGGGTGATTACGTCCTGTGACACAATCCGGCTTACACTGCAGAGGAATGGCATGCATGGGTGTCATCCACAAAGGAAGCCTCTCTTAAACCTATGCACAAAACGCCCACCTAGACTTTTCCGGGGTCCATGCTGAAGAAGAAGACTGCTGGGACTCTGTATTCTGGAGAGATGAGATAAATGTTTTTGTAACTGATTGCTTCAAAACTGTATGGCGTCGCAAAGGTGAGGAGTACAAAGAAAAATGCATGGTGCCTACAGTGAAACATGGTGGTGGCAGTGTCCTTCTGTGGGGTTTAATGAGTGCTGCTGGTGTGGGGGAGCTGCATTTCATTGATGGTATCACAGATATACTTCTCTATATTGAAAGAGAAGATGAACCATCGCTCCATGCCCTTGGTCGTTGTGTACTTTTCCAACATGGCAATGATCCAAAACACACATCTAAGGCCAATGTTGCATTTCTGAAGAAGAACAGGGTGAAAGTGATTCAGTGGCCAAGTATGTCTCCTGATTTGAACCCAATCAAACACCTATGGGGAATTCTGAAGAAACATGTTGAGCATCACTCTCCATCCAGCATCCAGGCTCTAAAAGAGGTCGTTCTTGAAGAATGGAAAAACACAGATGTTACAGTATGTTGCCAACTTGTTCATTCCTTGCCTAGAAGACTTGGTGCTGCCCTTACAACACATGGAGGTCATACAAAATACTAGATGTAGTAGTTCTTGTTGTGGGGTGTATTCATTTTTGCGTCAACTAATTTGAGTAAAACTGAAGATTTTGTAATCTAAGTTATATTATTAAATTTACTTTCATGTAATAAGCTAAACAAATGTTCTATAAAACTCAGTTTTGTAAAAAATATGGAAATTGTTCTTGTGTTCATTGAAATATTGATTCTTACTTTTCAAAAGGGGTGTACTGTATGTTACAAATTGGTTCCTGGTCTGTTAATGTAGTGTATCATTCTCGCTAGCCGTGCTTGCTGATTACATTGGGCAGATGATTAGTGAGGGGAAGGTCCAGAGTAATTTTATAATGAAATCTCTAAATCAGTGCTACTAGCCCTTGAGCCCCATAAGATGAAATGTGTTAGAGAGAATTAGCATGATGACGTCACATGCTGTCGACCAGGGTACTGCGAACAGCATTTCTATGATAGCTTTTTACTTGGATGTTTTATTAAACAGTGCATACAGGTTTTGCATTATTGGAGCTCTCTTTTGTATTTATATTAACATGATTTTGCATTTCCATGTAGGGAGCGCATGCCGCCCTACCTGTGCCGCCATTGGCGGTGACAGATGTCGATCACTGGGTCCCAGACGGAGATTCCCTGCCGGCACCCGGCGATTGTCTAATATCACTGACACAGGAGAGACCTATGTGTAAACAACACAGGTCTCTCTCCTGCCAGCAGTACCATGTTGCTGTGTATTTCTCTGCACAGCAGAGAAATACACAGCAGTATGTTTCCCTAGTAAACCTCACACAGCACACACAGTAAAAAAAGCACACAGTTAACCCTTTGATCGCCCCAGATGTTAACCCCTTCTTGACCAGTGTCATTAGTAGTGCTTTTTATTAGTACTGATCACTATATTACTTTCATTCAGATGCCAGTGGCAGTTAGTCCCCCCCCCCGTGTCAGAATGCCCGCCGCAGTCCCACTATAAGTCGCTGATCGCCGCCATTACTAGTATAAAAAAAAAAAGAAATACCAGTATATACATTTGTAGATGCTATAACTTTCACGTAAACCAATTAATTTACATGTATTGGGTTTTTTTTTAGCAAAGACGTAGCAAAATAGATTTTGGCCTAAATTTATGATGAAATTTGATTTTTAACAATTTTTTACTGGATATGTTTTATAGCAAAAAGTAATAAATATTTTTTTTTTTTTTCAAAATTGTCGGTCTTGTTTATAGCGCAAAAAAAAACAAAACTCACAGGTGATCAAATACCACCGAAAGAATGTTCTATTTGTGGGGGAAAAAAGTACATAAACTTAATTTGGTTGCAGCATTGCATGACCGCGCAATCAGTTAAAGTACCGCAGTGCCATATCGCAAAAAATAGCCTGGTTAGGAAGGGAGGGGGTAAATCTTCTGGAGGGCAAGTGGTTAATATTGCTAATGATAACTGTGCTAATTGTTATGGTGGATGATTGAGAATGGATTCATTTAACACAAATGCGTATTGACCCCTTTCATGCTGTGAGGTCCTGCTATCAGGTAAGTTTTCACATATTGATCTTGGAACTGCTTAGACTGCTACAAGTCACATGGGATGTTCTTTAATCCATTGTGTAGATATTGTAGGTACAGTTCATGGTTTGTAAATGGGTAGTCCTAACTTTAGCAATGACATTTTATTATTGTACAAAAGTAAATGTAAAGCTTTCACTAAACTTGTCTTTTAAAGTCTCCAACAGAAGCACATGTGATAGAATGACAAATCAGAAGCATAGTTGGGAGATAGAGACAGAACACTGTCACCCTACAAAGTATCTGAGCCAAACCTTCATTACTGAATTACCAGATGTTAATTTAGAGAAAGCTGATTTAAGAATATTTAAAATGACTTTGGAAATTCTATTAACATGTTAAAGATTATATGGGATTTTGGTCATTTTGATCTACGTTAACCAGATAACAAATAGTTACAGGCAGCTTTTGTGGTTGTCAGTTGACAAATGCGAATGGAAATTTTCTTTTGGTATATCATTATATAGTTTAGAACAGTACTAATGTAAAAATCACTTTTGCTTTTTATATTCATGCTGAAATTGCTAAGTAAACTTTAGAGATGAATCAGAAGTTTGGCACCTTCTTTAAAAGTAAACTTGTAGCATGGTCTGTAAAGCAGAATTGCAGACAGATACCAGTCACCCTTTAGTGCCGCAACATACAATACAGAGCCTGCCTGCCACCATGATCATTAGCTGTAGCCCTCTAAAAAGGCCTTATGGGCCACAGATGCACACTATCTCCCCCTTCTGACAATGCAATGCTTGGTTCCAAGGCAATCAATCACCTGGCCAAGAACTGTCAAATAGGGCCAGAAGAATGAGTCTAGCCTCAGAAATACAGCATCTAGATACATTTTTTTGGGGAGCAAGCTCTATAAAAAGGTATGATGTGTCCATGGAGGATGCAGACTAACCATCTGCACTTTAACATTTCTTTGCAGCTCTATGTTAAAGGTTAGCTAAAAGAACATTGAAATGGTATTGGGTCAATTTATTTTCATATTAAAGTTAAAAGTTTTTAAACTCACGTTACAACTTTTTTAATACTTGTACTGTGCACACTGGATTTGCAAGGCACTATGAGATTTATGAAATGGCAGAGGCTGCTTCCTTTCAGGCTCTCTCTCTCTTTGAAACGTCCTATCCCCCTGCTACACCAGGGAAGGGAGGGGGATAAGTCACTTCTCTGACTCTTTCAGCAGTGTGTGTAAATTTGAGCCTGGGCTATGAAACTGGGCCTGGCATGAGGTAAATTTTACATGGCAAATGCTTGCCTGTTAAATGATATACAAGTGTAACACTTACTGGTATTTATTACAGAGATCACAACACTCCTGCTGATAATATGTTCTGCTTTTCTTTCCAGAAGGACATATCCATCTTTGCTCAAACACTCTCCAGGGTCAGGATCTGTCCCTATACTGAGCTACTAATTTAGTTATAACACTGTGCCTGTGCAATTCTTGGCTGTGTTAACAAGTATCTGATATAGATCAACCCCCTGCTGCAGCCTCTCACTTTGTCATATAGATGTGACATATCTATACACTTTGTGGTATAGATTTATAATGTTGCAGTCTGTTTTACTGTAATAGACTGATGACATCATCTCAGCTAAGGCAAAGGCATTTGACTGGTGCTACTGTAGAAGCAATTTTAGGAATACCAGGTAAAACTCCAGACATGAACTTGAGGAAAACAAACTTTTTATTATTCAGCGCTGAGTGATCCAGCAAAGGCTCATGCCAGCAAGCTAAGTGGCTTGAAAAACATCTCACAGAGAATACATATCAGCAATTACGTCACAATACATATATTTCCTCTTTCACTTTCTGTACATTTAAAAGGCTTTCTAAGCTATTCAGAATATAGCCTTACTAGATAATGTATCTTCAGCTACAGATAAGAATACCAGCTACAGACTGGAACAGTTTACTCCACAGAAAATAAGGGAGGGGGGGAAAGTCAGCTGATGACCTTGTTTTTGTAAACAGAGGCTGTTAGAGATGTTAAAGTTGAAAGGGGAACTCTGCAATACTTGGGTGCTGCCACACTACCCTCTTGAGGGCCTCTGGATTTTTCTGGGTGCCCCTAAGCTCTGCACAACCAGGAAACATGCATCTCCTATACTTTTCCCTCAGAGTCAGTAAAATACTCTGTGAGCTTGTTTTTGTTGTTTTTATAAGGTGTTAAAAATGTGGATGGGGTCTAGGGGTATGTGATGCCCAAGGAACTGTAAAACCTGAGGACAACTTCTTAGCAAACTCTGTACAAAATGTGGATCAAAAATCAGCAACAGTCTCTTTAAGGAGCACCAAGTTCCCTTTGGTGTACTCCTCAGACCCCAGATGAAACTCTCCTCATCCACCTGGCTGTCCTGAGAGTATCCCTTGGCAAGGGATTCCAGACTCTTTGGTGAAGCAGTCCCAGACGAGGACTAGTTGGGTATTGCACCTGACTGCCCTCTCCCTTCTGTGGCCCAAGGAGTATAGAAGTACTCATACTGTCCTGTTCTGTAGCTTAGTGGGTTGCAGCTGCTCTCAGGCATTATGCTGGGCTGGCTCCTTCCCTGCTGACAGGCTGTCCTCCCAATGAGATCCTCCTGTCTGCTTCAGCCTGTAGGCAGCCAGCCCCCCCCCCCCCTTCCCGGGGCCTCCTCTCAGGCACCACGCTCCAACACCTTCCATAGTCAATCTTCCACCCGAACACAACACCCCCTGCTGCACAGGCTCTCT